GACAGGGACTTCACTCTGGCATCCTCTGAGGTCGACGAGGAGTCGACGGTCGCAGCCGCCGTCATGGTCTGCGATCGCGCGGAGTTCTCTATGGCGACGGCACTGCTGCAGCTTTGGCAACAGCCCATGACGGACCAGTTGCGCGAGCAGCACCTGCGACTGTGGACATCCGCGCTAGCCATGATCGGTACATTCTTCGAGAACGGGTGGGTGCTCTGGGATGCGCAACCTGAAAACTACGTCGTGGACGAGGCAGGCTACGAGCGGATGCGGTTCTTGAGGGTCGCGACCATCCAGGAGAAAAGCTGTGATCCCAATCACGCTGAAGGCCAGCTGCTGTACAAGATCATGAAGCGCTTTTGCGGGGCAACAGTCGATTTGCTGACAAGGGGAGGCAGTCATCCAACGTGGCAGACATGGCTGCAGCCGCTTTTCGAGAACATGTGTCACCGGTACTTGGGCCAACATGCTGAAAATTTTTGGGGTCAACAACTGTATTGGTCGAGGACAGGCGTTTGCTGGACATTAAATCCTTAATAAGCCGGAAGTCTGAACCCTGAACCATACGTGGCGTGTGGGTGTGTCCGTGTGTTACACTCGCAATAATTTGCAGGATCGACGAAGCGTGCATGCGTGCACTTGCAGAGCACATGTTCAGGCTTCTCGGCAGAAAGAGTTGGCTGCCGCGCAGATGTAGGATGCCCTTTTCTACTGCACGGACGCTGTCTTGCAAAAGTGCGGGCTGAGGTAGCGCCGCTGACACGCAGATGTAGCATGGCCGCGGAACCGCGTGGACGCTGTCTTGCGAAAGCGCGGGGCTGCGGTCACCTCATCATGGCCCAGGCGGTGAGTTGTGACAGGCTTGGCGGCGCTTCTGTCAAAATCCTGCCAGAGCCGGTTCGAGCTTTAGATGGTGAGTTGGAGGGCCGCCTTCGAGCAAAACCTTGCACTTGTCATTGCTGCTAGTGCTTAGGCTGCTTCGATTCGCAGTGCGAGAACTACCGGTCTTGTCCTCAGTAAGACGATCGCTTTGATGAGGGTTGCATTCGATGCGTTTTCAATTTCGCTGCATGCGGTCCTTTGCATGCTTTTTTTTTGTGCGTGCCGCGTAGCTCGGGCTCGATTCCTGTGGTCGCGCTGGCCTTCGCGGTGACCCCCAGTGGACGCTGTCTTGCAAAAGCTGGGTGTGCCGCTGGGCTATGGCAGGCAGGTCCTTGCCTCCGGATGCTTATTTGGTCGAAGCGGATCTGCGAGCACGGGAATCGACCAGGAAAAACCCATTGCTCAGATGGCAGACAGGCACAGCCAAGCTTGTCTTCCGGGTGCCCGGGAGCTCTGCTACCATCGCCATCGAGGAAAGGATGGACCGTCTTGGTTGCGGGGCTTTCAAGGTGGCTTTCAGCTTGGAGAACTGGAGGTTGGCGGTGAAGATGGTGCCCAATGCCGGCATGAACAAACAAGGCTGGATGACGACAAACGATCCGCTGTGGGAGCTGAGGCAGTACTTGAGGGCGTCCCAAAATGAGGCAGTGCGTCCGTACATGCCCCGGTGCTACGGAGGCCTGCACCTGTGGGGCGACCTCGACGACGCTTTGGTAGGGACTGAGGTCGACGCTTTGGCAGGGACTGAGGTGGACGAGGGGCCGATGGTCGCCGCCGCCGTCCTGGTCTGCGATCGCGTTGAGATCTCTATGACGACGGCACTGTTGCAGCTGTGGCAACAGCCCATGACGGAGCAGTTGCGCGAGCAGCACCTGCGACTGTGGACATCCGCGCTCGCCATGATCGGCACATTCTTCGAGAACGGGTGGGTGCTCTGGGATGCGCAACCTGAAAACTACGGCGTGGACGAGGGAGACTACGATGGGATGCGGTTCTTGGACGCCGGGGCCATGGAGAGGAGAAGCCTTAGTCCCAATCACCTTGAAGGCCAGCTGCTGTACAAGATCATGAAGAATTTTTGCAGGGCAACAGTCCAGTTGCTGACAAGGGGAGGCAGTCATCCAACGTGGCAGACATGGCTGCAGCCGCTTTTCCAAACCATGTGTCAACAGTACTTCGGTCCAGAAGCTGCACCTGTTTGGGGTGATCAACTGTTTTGGTCGAGGACGGGTGCTTGCTGGACATTAAATCCTTAATAAGCCGGAAGTCTGAAGCCTAAACCATACGTGGCGTGTGGGTGTGTCACTGTGTGTTGCACTCGCACGTTGCAGGAGGATCGACGAAGCGTGCATGCGTGCACTTGCAGGGCACGTGTTCAGGCTTCTCGGCAGAAAGAGCTGGCTGCCGCGCAGATGTAGGATGCACTTTTCTGCTGCACGGACGCTGTCTTGCAAAAGTGCGGGCTGAGGTAGCGCCGCTGACACGCAGATGTAGCATGGCCGCGGAACCGTGTGGACGCTGTCTTGCGAAAGCGCGGGGCTGCGGCCAACTCATCATGGCCCAGGCGGCTAGTTGTGACGGGCTTGGCGGCGCTTCTGTCAAAATCCCGCCAGAGCCGGTTCGAGCTTTAGATGGTGACTTGGAGGGCCGCTTCGAGCAAAGATTTGCACTTGTCATTGCTGCTGCTGCTGCTGCTGCTGCTTAGGCTGTTTCGACTCGCACCACGAGAACTACCGGTCTTGTCCTCAGCAAGACGATCGCTCTGATGAGAGTTGCATTCCATGCGCTTTCAATTTGACTGCATGCATTCCTTTGTATGCTTTTTCGATTTGTGCGTGCCGCGTAGCTCGGGCTCGATTCCTGTGGTCGCGCTGGCCTTCGCGGTGACCCCCAGTGGACGCTGTCTTGCAAAAGCTGGGTGTGCCGCTGGGCTGCTGCGTAGCTCGGGCTCGATTTCTGTGGTGGCGCTAGTCTTCGCGGTGCCGCCGGGTTGACGCTGTCTTGCGAAAGCTCGGTGTGCCGCTGGGCTATGGCGGCCCGCTCCTTGCCCTCGAATGCCAATTTGTTCGCTGCAGAGCTGCAAGCAGACATGGACGGGTACAACAAGAAAAACCCAATGATCAGATGGCGGAAAGGCAGAGCCAAGCTCGAGTTCCGCGTGCCCGGCGGCGGTGCCATCTTCATCGAGGACACGCTCTACCGTTTGGGTACCGGAGCTTACAAGGTGGTCTACGGCTTGGAGACCTGGAAGTTGGCGGTGAAGATCGTGCCCAATGCGGGCATGAACAAAAATGACTGGATGGGGAAAAACGATCCGCTGCAAGAGCTGAAAATGTACAGGAGTGCGTACGAGAGGAGTGGCAAAGTACGACCGTGCATGCCCCGTTACTACGGAGGCGTGCACCTGTGGGGCGACCGTGACTGGCGTATGGCAGGGAGTGAAGACGATCCCAGGGCCAGGGACTCGAAGGTCGCAGGCGCCATCATGGTCTGCGATCGCGTTGGGCTTTCTATGGAGACGGCACTGTTGCAGCTTTGGCAGCTGCCCATGACGGAGCGGTTGCTTGAGGAGCACCTGAAACTGTGGACATCCGCGCTCGTCATGTTCGGCACATTCTTCGAGAACGGGTGGACCCTCTGGGATGCCAAACCTGACAACTACGGCATGGACGAGGGAAACTACGAGCGGTTGCAGTTCTTGGACGTCGCGGCCCTAGAGAACAGAAGTGAACAAACGACCCGCGAAGATGGCCAGCTGCTGTACAAGATCATGCAGCGCTTTTGCAAGGCAACAGTCGACCTGCTGGGAAAGGGAGGCACCCATGAAACGTGGCGGCAATGGCTGGTGCCGCTTTTCGAGAACATGTGTCGCCTGTACTTGGGCCAACATGCTGAAAATTTTTGGGGTCAACAACTGTATTGGGCGAGGACAGGTTCTCTCTGGACATGAAACTCATAAATGTGTCTGCGTGTGTGTGTGTGTGTGTGTGTGTGTGTGTCACTGTGTGTTGCACTCGCAGTTTGCAGGATCGACGAAAAGATAATGCGTGCATTTGCAGAGCACATGTTCAGGCTTCTCGGCAGAAAGAGCTGGCTGCTCGTGCTCGTTGCTTTGCGGTTGATCGTATGTCCTGATCGCGAGGATTTCGACGTCTCCCGCATCTTCGTTTGCCGACAGGTGTTCTGGGGATTGTGGCTGGAAACAGGAGCTAGTGCACAAGACCTCACGGCCAGGAGCCAGCCGACGGGGGAGTCCGAGCCTGCGAAGAAGTCCGGGCCTCAAGTCACGACGGTGGCGGTCGGCGGCTCTCTTGTTGGATTCCGAGCTTAGGCCAAGCAAAAGAAATCTGACGGCCAGGAACGAGCCGTGCAAGGAGTCGGAGCCTGCCAAGAAGTCCGGACCTCAAGTCGAGACGATGGCGGCCAGTCCTTGGTTCCTGCCAGCAACCCAGCAGAGGACCCTGCACGGATCCTCGTGCTTGCTTTTCATGTGTGTGCAACGAAAGAAATCCGACGGCCAGGAACGAGCCGTCGAAGGAGTCGGAGCCTGCCGAGAAGTCCGGACCTCAGGTCACGACGATGGCGGCCGGTGGTTGGCTCCCGCCAGCAACTGTGCAGACGACCCTGCATGCATCCTCGTGCTTGCTTTTCACGTGTGTGCAACGGCGTTCCCGCCCGCGACCCAAGGTGCGTGAAGGCCAGGAACGAGCCGTGGAAAGAGTCGCCGCGGGAAGAGTCGGAGCCTGCCAAGAAGTCCGGACCTCAGGCCACGACGATGGCGGCCAGTGGTTGGCTCCTGCCAGCAACTGTGCAGAGGACCCTGCATGCGTCCTCGTGCTTGCTTTTCACGGGCGTGCAACGGGGCTCCTGCCCGCGACCCAAGGTGCGTGAAGGCCAGGAAGGAGACGTGGAAAGAGTCGCCGCGGGAAGAGTCGGAGCCTGCCGAGAAGTCCGGTTCTCGAGTCACGAGGCGGGCCTCGGGTCGTGGCACTGGCGCTGTCTCGTCGACGGCTAACATATCCGACGGTCAGGAATGAACCGCCTACTGAAGAGTCGGAGTGTGCCAAGATGTCCGGACCTCGGCAACTCAAAGGTGCGGTGTCTTGCTGGCCGCTGAGCTCAGGCAACGCATGGATGCATCGCGAGAATTAAGCTCATGGGGACCCACCGTGTGCGTGGGGTTGCTTGGTCGCAGTGCACTGGTGATGTTCCAGATGCTGCCCAAGGAAGAAGGCGATACTGCGATAGAGCTCTTGTGCACCGTGAAGGAGAAGGACGTCGAGGTGATTGAATCGGTTCAACACGTGCAAGCGCACGTTTTGGCGGCGACACCACGGGATGTCTCTCACATGCTTAAGGAGGGCGAGCGCAAGCACGGGCTTCTTCGGGTTGAGCTTGTCTGCAGTACCGCATGGACGCCCACCGACAAATATGCGGAGCGTCACAGAGTGCGTCGGTGCATGCATGTCAACGCTTCCCTCGCGCGGGTCTACTGGGATCAAATGAATCGGGACAGCTGGCCCAAGTCTTTGCAGGACTGGCACGAGATTGTGGTTGGCAAGACTCAAAAGCGTGCAGAGGCACCTAAGTTGACGTTGGAAACCCTGGAGAAGGCGATGAAGGACGTGACCGTCGTCGCTGACCAGAGGGGCTTTTACAACAAGCCTATCCATGATCTAGACACACATGGACGGGTCAATCGAAAGACGACTAAACTGGACGAAAACCCCCTCACGCGAGAAGAGCGCGAAGCCGAAGGGATCACTTATGGCGACCAGCAACCGAACAAGAGGATGCGAGACATTCCCAGCTACCGGCACAAGCCATTGACGGTCGCTTTGCTAAGTATGAAAGTGTTCGAAGCTGTACATTACTTTGTTCGTTTTGTTTTCCTCGCTCGTGTGTCTTCTGCATTGGTTTGATCCGCGGAAGGCATTGCTGCGGAACCTGCACCAACTTCTGCCGCTGGAGCGCTGCAACGAAACAGGGCAGCGACCGGCCGGATGCAGGGAGCGGCATGCTCCAACGAAGCCGCGAAAGCAATCCAGCAAAACCGATGGAGGCATGTTCAAGTTTGCCCAGCATGGCATGGTTCTCCAGCTGGAGGACTTCATCGAGGAGAAGTGCTTTGTACAGCCGACAGCTGCTGCAGAGGAGCAGGACTTTGGCTTTGTGCCGGCCGAGCTGCACAATGTGGCCAGGGGCCTTGTTGCTTTCCTGAGGGTCAGAGCGTGCTCTTACGATAACATCTCGCCTCAGAAGAAGACGGAGCATTGGAGCCATTGCTTGGAGTGGTGGGGTTTTTGGATGTCGGACGAGGAAATCCAAGCCGTGGCTGCACAAGCGACGTCCCTTGCATTTACGCACATGCGCTATCTGAGTGCCTACGTGCGTTTGCATCGAGCAACGTTTGCGCAGGAAAGTGTTGCCGCTGCCTCGCAGATGTAGGCTGGCCGCGGAACCGCATGGACGCTGTCTTGCGAAAGTGCGGGGCTTCGGCCACCACGTGGCTTAGACAGCGGCTTGGACGAGGCAGTACTTGGATGTGGCGGCCGTGGAGGAACGCTCGCTGAGCTTCGCGTAGGATGGCCGCGGCATCGCATGGACGCTGTCTTGCGAAAGTGCGGGGCTGGGGCCATTCATTCCCGAGGCGCTGATCTTTTGCGGTGGTGCTTGCGCTTGTGCCAAAACAAAATGATTTCTTTCACTTCAAATGCCACAACGCACTTGCCGAACTTTGCTCTCATCGGGGTCCGGGTCCAGATTCAGATCGTGGTTTGCAGGGCTTGGCATGGCTGCTGTTGCTGCTTAGGCTGTCTCGACTCGCACCGCGAGGTCTATCGGTCTTGTCCTCAGCAAGAGAATCGCTCTGAAGGGGGGGTGGCATTGAAGTCGGTTGGCTTGCCGATGTTCTCCGCTCCGAGGTTGCTTCCAATTCTGCTGTTTTCGTTACCTAGCCTGGGCTCGATTTGCATTTCCCTTTTGCTGGTCTCCGCGGCATCGCCGAGTGGACGCTGTCTTGCGAAAGCTCGGGGTGCTGCTGGGCCGTGGAACTCCCAGCGATGGAGGCTGCCGAGACGACTTCTCTGGGTGGCGGAGATCGGGCATTGCTGCTTCCTTGCGAAGGAGGCCGGCCATTGCAAAACGTCGAGCTGCTGCAGAGAACCTTGTCTGCTCTGCTGCAACAGTCTCTTGTCCAGTCAAACGAAGAGCTTACCGATCTCGTTTACAGGGCTTGCTTCTTTCACAACAAGCTCAAGGGCAGCCTGGCATCGAATCATGAAAGCAATCCTATCACGGCCTCTCAGGAGCCGGGAGGAGTTTATGAGCGCAACTTTCTGGGGGAAGTTCGAGAAGTGTTGAACTGTCTCGTCGAGCATCACGAGCGACTGAGCTTGGATGTGCTGTTCGCCGAGATATGTCGCGCGGACAAGCTTTTGCGAGAAGCCAGAGCTTTTTTGCGCCGCTGGAAGCACGTGCCCTCGATAACGCCGGTGATGGAAGAAAGCGCGGCATGCGTCGCCCATGCGCTGGCTGCAATGGACGATGCTCATTTAGCTCTTTGCGAAGATTCCCTCTGCAATTTTACTCAGAGCATCCACGCCGGACGGCTCGCCGTCCATCGAGGCTGTGGTTATTTGGACTTACTGCTGCGCTGGATACAAGAGGGCGAGCACTGCAGCGGCGATCGACGGAAAAGTTGCAAGCGGCGTCGTGCCTCGAGTTCTGGGCACGACAGCACAGACACGGCGTTGGTTGCACAATACGAGAAGTCGGTGGCCGAGTCGGGCTCGAGACTGCCGCTGCCGCCTTTGCCTCCATGTCTTCCCGAGCCATCGGAGGTGTCCAACCCGCGGCAGCCTAGTCTGCCCGAGGAAGCTTGTCAGGCGGGGCAGGCACAGCTCTTCGAAGAGACGGTTCCACTGCAAGCGAAGAGAAACGCGACTGAGACAGAGCACACGCCAAATGCCGTGCTGCGTGCTCAACAACTCTTGGAAGGGCTCCTGCCTTTTTTGGAACAGCAAGTGGCGGCCGTCGTCGCGGAGGCCCGTAGTCACCTCCTTCAGTGGACTTCCGGAGTCTCGCCAAACAGCGTTATTTCAGTGGACGACACGTGACGATCTATCGAGCTTGAGCCCTCGGATCCAGATACTGTGCCATCCGCATGGAGATGCCTGTCTGAACGAGACATGGCCGCAGCACCGCATGGACGCCGTCTTGCCAAAGTGCGAGGCTGCGGCTACTTCGCTGTCTTGGATCGACCGCAGTTTCGGATGTGCGGCTCAGGACTGTCACGTCGATTTTCAAGGGAGGCCGTTGTGCGACGCAAAATCGCTGTGAACCACTTCTCGCGGTTTCCTCGTCGTGATTCACCTGTGTTGGAAAGGCTTTCCTGGGCACGACGAGCCCTGGGCCAGTGCTCGATTCGTCGAGGCAGGGACGGCCGATGCGGGAGGTGGTGCTGGCAGTTTCGGAATCTTCTTACCCCCATCCCGAAGCCGCCCCTGTGGGTTTCTTTGCAGCTGGCGTTTGGGAAGGGACGTAAGGACTTCAGTTTGTGTCCTTGCTTCAGGTTTCGTTCTGGAAGGAGGCAGAACTCGCAAGATGCGAGATTGAAAGCAAGCGGTACTGCTAGTCCCGAAGCTCTTGTAGGACCAGTAAGCCACGGAATAATTGCAACGTGCAGATGTCTGCTTAGTTTCCTTACCTCTGCCCCCGATATGCGACTTGCTTCCACGACTCATTGTAATAGAGTGCATCCTAATACATTGCGTTGTACGTATCGGCCGATTTGGGCCCGGTGGTGGCGATAACACTACCTGTGCAAAGAAGGCGAGCTTGCATTGAGCACGTGCGTTGCGATCTGTTGTCACGACTTTTGACGAATTATGCTGCTTTGAACGTCTGCTTGAAAATTGTTCAAGAACTACTAAGAGACGGGCATGTACCAGGAGCGCTGCCACGGATTGTGCACATGCGTCACCATCTCCAGCCGAGGGACCGAGATTGTAATGATTGGAGTGACAGTTCATGAATTTTCGCGCGCATTCCTTGGAGCATTGTGCTCATGTAATTGTTCGATTGCGGCTGTTCGATGTCGACTGATCTTACATTTATTCTTGCACGCACGTATTGCGAGGCGCGTTGCGTGTCATCAGGAACATTGGTATGAGTTCTGACAAACTGCCTTTGGACCGACGCGTTATTGAACAAGGACATTGCGTCATGAGACTTCACGGACCTACTCCATTGACTGCGATTTCATTTGCTGATCGTTACTGTATGGATTGCACTTTTGATTCGGGTTTTACCTGCTCTGACATTGCAAGATCGCGGTGTTAGATACTCGGGGTTTTGGTCGTCTCATGCTGGCTTTCAGGGTCCGACGTCCTTTCTCCTCTTCGGCAAACGCTTCTTGGTGGAATCACTTTCGAGGCTTGCAGTCTTCGGCGAGGCTTCGTTGTATTCGCGGTGTTCATTTCGGGCAGACACAGTTCCTGCGGAAGCTTTGGTTTTTTCGTCTTGGGCAAGTGATCCAGGGCCTCGACTTTCAGTCTGCAGACCCCGTTGTTTGCATCGTATGCAGCTAGCAAGCGCATTGCATTTGGCTGAGCTGCTCCCGGCACACTCACAGGTGTTTGTCTGGTATGCCATCTGCGTTTCCCAGCAGGTCGGGGCAGTTGCTTGGAAGGTATGAACTTTGGCTTCGTTGTGCGTGCAGGGCATATTAAAGGCTTCAAGTAGGGTTCCAGGAGGGCTTCATCCGGGCCTTCGGCTCTTGCCGATTCGAGGTTGCGCTTCTTCGTTTCGCACTCATTGCCTAGATTCTGCCTGATCATTTTGGGTGGGTCGTTTCTGTCGGGATTGGGAATCCGGTCCTGGCAGGCATTCAGTGTTCGCCTTTGGTTTGGCTTCTTCGAGGAACTTGGAATGGATATTTGACTCCGCCCGATAGCTGTTGCTATGAACGTTCGGAGCGGGCTTTGAGTGTGGTCCTGTCGGTTATTCTTATGCACTGTTCGCGAAGAGATCCAGTTGGTGTTTCTGCGCTTCGGACGCATTGCATTGATTCTGCTTGATCATTTTGGGCGGGCGGTCTCTGTCGGGATTCGGGATCTGCTCCTGGCAGGCATTCAGCGTTCGCTTTTGGATTGGAGATTTAACGACACCTGCTACGTAGGCGTTGCGTGTTCGGAGTGCGCTTCGAGTGGAACACAGAAGTCGTTCGGCGCGACCCGGTAGGGTACTCCCCGAACCTTACACTTGTATTCACGGCTAGCGCTGCGCCACTTTGAGTATAGTGTGTTTGCTGCAGTTCTTGTGATCTTCTAGGCTTCGGTTCGGTGTACAATAGAGAACGTGAACCACGGGCTCGTCCTCGAAAGTGGCAAGCAGCTTGTGGACATTGGCAATCAGTGGAGCGGCCGTGACAAGAGCTCGGATCACGGAAGTATCCAGCCAGAGTCAAGGTTCGTCCAGGACCAGGCACACGGCAACGTAAGAGGTCGGTTGCCAATTGTTGTTTGCTGGCGGCTGGTCTTTGGGATGATAGCTGCGTTCGGGCAGTCAAAGCCGCCGTGGTGCTTGCCGTGAAGGAAGCGGTCGATGTGCCGACCAGTTCCAGGAACCTCCAGCAAAGTCACTATGTGAGCAGCTTGGCCGCATGCGGTCACTGGTCACACGGTCTCATGTGAGGCTGTGAACTGGGATGAAGACGAGGAAATTTCGACAAGAAGAGATTGCTTGTCGCGAGTCAATGTCCAGGTCGGCTCATCGAGCCCGTGATGGTGCAGATAATTAATCGGCGGCATCTGGCGTAGCTAGAAGGGTCGGTGTTGCGTTTCTGCTTTTGTTGGGTGTGCTTCTTTGTCGGATGAGTCCTGCCCGATGCCTGTATCGGGGTTTAGACGCGGCGAGCAGCGGCGCGGCTCCGCGAGGCGGGCCGTTTGGTTGTGAAATTAGGGGATAGGATATCTCCCGAACTTCTGAATAAGACCCTACATGGATCGCGGAATCCACTTCGGAATGTTGCCAGATGCCGCCTTAGGGCTGATTGGACTAATGCCCTGTGATCCTTGTTATATCATTCCATCTGTGTCTCCTGCTTTAGTTATCCTTCCATGTCAACTGCCCCCCCTAAACCTCTCGCAGATCTTGTGAGCTGCGAGAAGACGATTGTCGGGAATGAGGCTGGACGAAGACAGATCGGGTTTGGGCAGGGGCAGGCACGTAGTCATCCCCTTCAAGGGATTTCTCGGGTCTCGCCGGGGGAGGGGGGGGGGGGGGCTGCATTTAAGCCGTTTTCAATTTCGCTCGCTGTGTTGTTTCTCAGCTGGGCTCGATTTACGTTGTGTTTGTTTGCCGCCGTGACGCCGCTGAGTGGACGTTGTCTTGCGAAAGCTGGGCGCGTCAGGCGAGACTGTAAGATATTCCGAAGCATGGACTCA